CACACACACACACACACACACAGAGAGAGAGAGAGAGAGACAGAGACAGAGACAGAGAGAGACAGAGAGACAGAGAGAGACAGAGACAGAGAGAGGGAGAGACAGAGAGAGAGAGATTATTACACTATTAAGGATGGTGAGAAGGCTTAGTGGGTAAAAACGCTTGGCATGTAAGCCTGATGATTTGAGAGCCACCCCTGGAACACACCGTGGAATGAGAGAAGAGACTCAGAAAGTTATCCTCTACCTCTCCACACCTCCTGTGTCAACAAATACACACACACACACACACACACACACACACACACACACACACACACACTAATAAATTAAGTTTAAAATGTGTACATTATAGGGTGAAAAGGGCCAAGGAAAAACACCCTCTGACTTAGGAACAGGAATTGAAATCCTGCCAATCCCTGAGGTCACTGAGTACAAAATCCCACCAATCCCTGCGCCCCCTGAGCATTAAATCCCACCAATCTCAAGCCACCCTGGAAAGCTCTGCCTCCCAAGGAACCCTGTAGAAGTTCTGTATCCTGGTCAGTCTGTTACCACCTCACCCTAGAGGCAGCCACTCTCCTGGATTCTTCCCAATAAATCTCTTGAGTGAGGTTTGTTGTGTGGTGTGACATTTTCGCCCAAGGGAAGCTCAGCTGTAACAACTTTCACTGGAGCAGGAGGGGAGCAGAACGGTAACACTTACCCTAGCAGAGCAGAGTTGTTAGACTCCAGGGGACCTTAGCTGAGCTGTAACACTTTGACTGGGGAAACTTTCCCTTAAGTGGAGCAGAGCTCTTACACTTCACAGGACCTGAGCAGGGCTGTAACAAACCCTCCCCTTCCAGGCAGAGTTGTTACACCGGGGAAACCTTTCCCTGGAGCAGGCCTATAAGCTGCTATGCTTACAGTGCCATTGTGGTATTCCTTGGCTTCCAACTGCCAGGACACCTTTCTATCTGAGCTGCAACGCTTACATATATAAATACACATAGATTAATTTTCATTAAAGATTAAACCTACAGAAAAGTTGTAAGAACAGCAATTAACTACCCTTTGCCTGGATTCAGTTTAACATTTGACACATTTGTCATTCTCTATCTTTGCTAAACTATTTGCAAATAAGTGGCCTACTGCTGTGGAATAATCCTTTTGTATACTATAAATGTATTGCTCTTGTTGGTTTAAGAGCCAACTGGCCAATAGCTAGGCAAGAAGAGGTTAAGTGGGAGAGCCAGAGTGAGAGAATGCTGTGAAGAAGGGAGAGTTGCCTGCCAAACACAGAGGAAGCAGGATATATAAAAGATGAGATAGTAAGCCATGAGCCACATGGCAGCACATAAATTAATAAATATGGGTTAATTTAAATTGTAAGAGCTAGTTAGTAACAAGCCTAAGCTACCAGCCAAACATTTATAATTAATAGTAAGTCTCTGTGTGGTTATTTGGGAGCTGGCTGGTGGGACAGAAAAGCCCACCTACAGCCTACATCACAGACTTTTATCCATAAATACTTCAGTGTGTATTTCTTAATAAGGATACTTTATTTCATAACACAGTACAATGATTAGAGTCAAGAAAGTCAGCATTGAGGCCTAGAGAGATGGCTCAGTGGTTAAAATAGAGTGCTGCTCTTGCAGAGGCCCTGAGTTCAGTTCCCACCACTACACCAGGTATCCCAACACCACCTGTAACTCTAGCTATTTAGGGGATCTAATGCCCTTTTCTGGACCCCATATGCATCTGCATTCACACATGCATGTAAATACACACACACACACACACACACACAACTAAAAGTAAAATAAATATTTTTTTTAAATCAACATTGAAGCAATACTTTTATCTAACATACAACCCAATTTAATTTTCAACAATTGCCCTGACAGGATTCCTTGGTAACATGCTTTTCGAAGACCATATGCCACCCTTAGTGGCATGTCTCTTAAGACTTGAATCTAGAACTCTTCCTCAGGCATTCTTTCATGACAATGGCATCTTTAAGGGTACAAGATAGTTAGGGGGGTCGATTTCCTCAGTTTATATTTTTCTGATTTTTTTTCCTTTGTGACAGATTCAGAATATGCATTTTTACAGATATCACCTAAGAGATGTGTCCTGGGTACCTCATATCAGGGGGCTCTTTGTGTCATTTAATTCCCATTGGTAACTTGGGTCATTTTTTCAGGAAAGAGTCTGTCAGATTTCTCTATTGTAAAGGTACCTTTGTTAATCCTTTATAATGATTTTTAAAATCCAAAGATATTTTGAGACTGTATGCATACCCTACTCTTCAACCAAATTTTACTTTAATGCCTATTGATAATTCTTGTCTGAACCAATTATTAGGAACAGCCACAAAATGGTGAGTTTATAATTTCTACCTACATCCTCTTCTCACTTATCCTGTCTTTATACTTAACCTAAAAGTTAAGCCTGAGAACATAGCTCAGTGATACAAAACTTGCCTAGCATATATAAGGATCTGAGTTTCAGTTTCCTAAAAAAAAGAGAAGGAAAAAGAAAAGGAGTGGAAATAGACATGTATGGGGGCTTATCACATCTACCACATTTCTGAGGACCTGTCTAAAAAAAAGTTAAAGTGAAAATATGCAGTCTGGTTCCTTTTTAAAAATTAATATGAGCCGGGCGGTGGTGGTGCACGCCTTTAATCCCAGCACTCGGGAGGCAGGTGGACAGACCTCTGTAAAGTATGAGCCAGCCTGGTCTACAACGCAAGTTCTAGGTTATCCAGGGCTACACAGTGAGACTCTGTCTCCAAACAAACAACAAAAAACCCACAATGCAGAGCCCAAGAGATGGCTCATTGGGTAAGGGCACCTGCAGCAAGCCTGGCCACTTGAGCTCAGTTCCCTAGACTCCACATAGTGGAATCGAGAACCAGCTCCCTCAGCCTGTCCTCTGACCTCTACACAAAATAAATAAAATGTAAAAGTAATATGTGTTGTAATGTACAACAATTTCCAATGAACAGTTTCCAAATTGTCCATTTCTGATGCTCAGTTTGTCTGAGATTTGGCAATGGTGGGTCCCTTCAAGCTGTATTCTCTTTTGACACATTCTTCCTGTTGTCTACACGAAGTCTCCTTGCTCACTCATATAAGTTCTTTCAAGGGCATCTTAAACTTTCCCTGTCTGCCTCGAACTGAATCGTTACTCCTAACGAATTGGGTTCCTTTTCATGGACAGTGGGTACCCGGGAACCAAGGTTTGGACGCACATAATATATTTCAAGATATTAAAATGTTGCTGTTTACTTAGGTCACCATATGGAAGACTGGTGTGACAGTTTATAATTAGAATTCTAGCATTACCTGTGTGACGTTGGCAACTCCCTTCATTCTAGCAGCCTGCTGCATCATCTGGAAATAAATTGGATAGTAAAGCGTTTACAATTTCCCAGTTTGAGGAAGTATGACAGAAGATATGGTTCCCTCTTCCCCAGGGACACGCTCAAATAAGTAAAAACTGTGCCTACGTTTCAGGGGTTCCAGGCTTCGAAGCCTATTGGCAATTCTGAATTCAGGAATAAGTCATCTCTAGGGTCTCTTCAGAGCTGACATTTTTTTTTTGTAAGTAACCGATTGCTGTGAGTAGGAATCCTCACAGACGTCAAAAAGTGGAGAGATTTATATAGTAACGAGGAGGGGGCTAAAAAGAACACAAAGAAAAGAGGCTGTGAGCAACGCGTTGCTCAGCCACGGCGCTCCTAGGGCTCCAAATTTAGCGCAGCCGTCTACTGCCGGAGGGGTTTTTGGCGGGAAGGGCCGCTGGCGGGCGGGGAACGCGGGTCGACCCTACCCGGGACGGGTCGGCGGCGCGGTGCACCCTCCGCTCGGCCCACCAGGGCTCGCTCTTGCCCTTCTGCTGGAAGGCAGGAGGAAGGGGGCGGAGCCGACGGCGACCCCGCCCCCGGCCGCGGCGAGGCCGGAGT